CCCCCCGAAGCTTTTGATTCTTCCTGTCATGGCTTTTTGGCGGGCTCAGATGCTCTTTTTGCCTGTTAATGTGAACTGTCTGCCTGCTCATGCTGAAATGAGCCCCCTCTAAAGAAAAACGAGTTGCTGTAGGTATTTCAGAGAGCTGTGACTGATTTCATGACGAGTGTCTGGTGTATAGCAGTCAGGACTGTACAGTTTTGGTTTACACTGGTGGTTTTTAGGAACATGTTTCCCTTTCTATGTGTGGTGACATACTTGATATCTCTCAGTACAGCCATTCAGATAGCTGTGGCTGGGAGCAAGGCTTCCCCTGAACTCGTGAAAAGCACTGAATCCAAGGGTTTTGTCATTATGGTGTAAACTGATGTTCTGATCTATCAGAGTTAGCAGCCTCTCTTTCCATGGTGACTGTATGGATCCCAGAGTTGGACAAGCTGTTCAGGACTTGTGGGCCACAGCTTATCCTCCATAGGTCTTATTTGCTCCCCATAGCACTAAAAGCAATTCCTGTGCCCTTACCCCGGTTTGTGCATTTCCCAAGACATGGTACAGTTAGATGTCTCTTCAATATCTTCTCCCTAACATGGACCATGGACTTTTTCTTTTTTTTTTTTCCACAGTGCTCAAAGTAGTTGAAAACCTTGGTGTGAGCTATGTGAGAAGTAATGATTTATACAAAACTAAGCTGGAGTCTGAGCTCCGCAGACTTAATTTTCCCTACAACCCTACAAAGTAAGTAAAAATCAAAAAAGGGAACTCTCTTGCACTTATTTTCTTTATACCATTCAAGAATTCTGAATAAAAGTAGAGATGATGAAATACTATTCCTAAAACTTAAATTTTGGTCTTTTTGTCAGAGATGTAGTTTTTCTTTGAGAGTATATATTTATTTCTTTAGGACAACCCCCTTCTTTAATAGTCTTGTATTTATTATCTTAAAGATGAGTTTTAATACACTGTTGAACAGCAATGATAAATTATTTGTGGATTTTTAATCTGGGAGAGATTTCTCTGAAATAATAATATGTTCTGTAGGCTTTGGCTGAGGATGATTATGAGGCAAGAAGAAAAGACCACATCTCTCATTTCATACTGCGCCTTGCTTACTGTCAGTCGTAAGTACTTTTTGTGTTATGCTATACTCTTATTATTAATTTTAAATGTATGCCGATACTACATTGCTTTTTATAGACATTAGAGATATTTTAGAGTTGCACGACTACTAAATAGAAAGATAGGCTCAAACAGAGGGCTTTTTTTGCTAGGAACCTGATTTCAACAGTGATGAAAAGGGATACTCGGGATCAAAATTGACATCCAGATTTTGTAATAATTAACAAAAAAAAGTACAAACTTCTGGGTTTTACACACAGAACATTGATTTCAGTCTCTTCCTTTTGACATCTTTTTTTGAGATTGAAGCAAACCAGTATTAAGTGTTTGTCAGGCATTCGCAGTGATAATTTAATTTAAATTAAATTAACTGCTTATATGCTTAAACTGTTGATTGCTGACCGAAGACCTGACTGTAAAAAGGCTTTATATTGTTGTCGAAAGAGAGTGCCTTGTTTCTGGCAAACTAAAAGTACCATCTGAGTTTGAGGTTTCCTCTACTGACTCTGCTTTTCTTCCAAATTCATTGCCATGGATGGTTGCTTTGCAATTTTTTTGTCATGTGAAATCTCAAGCACAAAGTTGGTCCTGTCAAGTGTATTCCTTTTGCTTCAGTTGTAGTTTTTGGATGAAATTAGAGGTTGTCGGTACTTGGTGTCTGTTAGCAGCTTTTCTGTGCATCAGTGTGAACTTCTGACTCCTTGCCATTGCAGTCCTTTTTTAGAATTAAAACTGGCAAATATGAAGTGTGTACTGTTTTTGAATTGTTAATTCAACTGGACTTTGAAGTTGTGATATAGTTGAAATTAGGTGAATGTGGTAGAGTACGTGTTATGATACTGTGATAGCTGACATGACTGAAGCGCTGCTATGGACCGATACAGATTTGTAAGCAAAAACAGATTGGGAAGGTGAGTAGGAGGGATTGTGCTCTAAGCCAAGATATGGAGCTGGAATGGATGGGGCTTTTCCTTTTTTGGAATGGGTCATGAGACTGTTGAGAGTTTTGGGGCAAGTGTTGGAGAAGAGACTGAGGTGGCTAACAAACAGTAGGTGCCTCCTACCTGACCTATTCTGATCAGAATTAGAAGTAGCAGAGGCCTCAAAAGCTTCCAGATGGAGGAAACCTCACCATGACAGGCCCTGGGTGGCTTAAAACACCCCAAAATCTTTAGGATTATTCACATCCTGTCACGTTGCCCTTTCAAAAGACACCTGGGCTGTGCTGAAGACAGTTTGTTGATATATGTGATTGATGACCCAGCTAGATCTGTGATGCATGTACAGTGAGGAATGGGCTGTGGATGTGAAGATCAATAGCAGCCTTCACTGCATTGACTCTTGACAGTGTAGTTTAAAATCCTGAAAGAATGGAACAAGTTGAGTAACAGAATTACGAATGAAATTCCTTCTACCCTTCTCTATTGTACAGGTATTATATGCAGTTATGAATAACAAATGTAATACTGGTTTCTTTCTAGTGCTTGCATTCATTGTATATATTTTTATAAGCTCCCTTTGTCATACTGGTCATGCTGATCTTTACAAGAAAATGTCTTGCTTTACCAGTATGTTAAGTTTCTACCAATGCCCGCTAAAAGGTGGTAGTCTTAAGTAGCCTGGGACTAAAAAGCTCCTGAAAACTTATTGTTTCTTATTATGCAGCTAGTGGCATTTTGAATAGTTAGTTTGGTTTCCATTATCCTGTCTTGTAAAACTTTACTTTCAGAATCTAGGTATTATTTAGATGGGACCATTGCTTTTCTGGGGGAGATGAGACACTTTGAGGGTGAAGAAAGTGCTGCTGTTCTGGAAGGAAAAATCGTCTGGTGCCAAGAATCTGGTCTGGAATTCAAGAGGCATCTGTTTTTGGTTGATCTGTGGCTTCAGGAAAACTGGGTTGGGTCAGATTCACAGAAGGCAATACAAGTCATGTAGCAAAACCCTGAAGGTTAGGTATTTGTTTCAGGAGTGGAATTTACTAAGCTTTGTTCGCTGGTCCGAGAAGGGAGGAAGGCATATGTGAATGATGGCGGCTAGCATGCTGAATGAAAGGCTGCCTCCGTCAGAAATAGCCAAGCAAGGACTTGGTGAAACATTTGCCTTTGTCACTGATGTGGTATCTTTCCCCCCATGCCCTGAATCTCTGTAATGGTTCTGGAATCTCCTGGAATTAAGGATAGATGCAGATAATTGGACTGCTTTCTTTTTCTCTGCAAGCTATTTTTTAAAACGAAGATCATTGTCTTTTGTATGAGATCTTATTATGCAATGCTTGCTTGGGAAAGAAATGGAAGGCATGCTCCAAATCCTGTGTTTCAGGGAATAGGCTATAGGCAGGGCAGAGGTGGGCAGTTTGTTGAAGTTGAACCACTGTGCAGAAATTAATACAAGCTATTTTGGGCCACAGAACAGCAGGAAGGAGCCTGGCTTTGTAGTCTAGGGGAAGGACCCCTTCTTAGGGAGGAGAGGCCTTGGATAGAGCTCCAGGGCACTCGTTTATAAACTACTTGGAAATGTACTTTTGTGTTCCTGTTTATATACAGATAGTTTGATGCAGTATTTCAATAAAGCAGCTTCCACTTAAGCTTGCTGCTTTTGTTTCTTTGGAAAGGTGGACTTAGTGCTTACTCATAAAATGGAAAATAGCATCTTAAGCGCTGTGAGGTGACCTTGTACCCAGCATTCTTCATTCTGTCTTGAAAAGCAGCTGTTTCAGGCATGAGATATTTCTATGCTCTAAAACTGGGAGGCAAATAGAATATACTGTTCTCTAAGTTTTTATCACATTAGGTCAAAATTAAGCTTGGCACAAATAATGAGGTTAATTGAAAGCTATTAAGGTAGGAGTGTTTGAAAAAGTGTACTTAAATAGACATGACTGCAAACTAGATTGAATTCAGTTCGCTGTGGCCTGCCAGGCAGTTGTGTTTACAGGCTTGTTTTACTGTGACACCGTCTTTTTAAGTTTCCAGTTGGCCAACAGTGCCACCCAGGGGTACGAGTTTACATCAACTTTTTTTTTTCCTGGTCTGCATCAGTCCTCAACTTATAAATTGGTTTGTTTTGGTTTGTTGTTTTTCTTAGTCTGAAGTGGCCAAGTCCACCATTCTTGTCAGTTAAATTTGTAATATAGCCATCATCTGTGGTGTGTTAACCCTGGCTAGATGCCAGGTGCCCACCAAAGCTGCTCCATCACTCCCCTCCTCAGCTATACAGGGGAGAGAAGATGTAACAAAAGGCTCATGGGTCAAGATAAGGGCAGGGAGAGATCGCTCACCAGTTACCATCACGGACGAAACAGACTTGACTTGCAGGAAATTAATTTAATTTATTGCAAATTAAATCAGAGTAGGATAATGAGAAATAAAACCTAAATCTTAAAAAACCTTCCCCCGACTCCTCCCTTCTTTCCAGGCTTAACTTCACTCCTGATTTCTCTGCCTCCTCTCTGCCAGTGGTGCAGGGGGATGGGGAATGGGGGTTGTGCTCGGTTCATCACATGTTGTTTCTGCCACTCCTTCCTCCTCAGGGGGAGGACTCCTCACACTCTTCCCCTGCTCCAGCATGGGGTCCCTCCCGCGGGAGACAGTCCTACATGAACTTCTCCAACATGAGTCCTTCCCATTGGCTACAGCTCTTCACTGACTGCTCCAGTGTGGGCCCCTTTCATGGGGTGCAGTCCTTCAGGAATAGACTGCGCCAGCATGGGTCCCCCGTGGGGTCACAAGTGCTGCCAGCAAACCTGCTCCTGCATGGGCTCCTCTGTCTCCATGGGTCCACAGTTTCCGCCAGGAGCCTGCTCCAGTGCCAGCTTCCCACGGGGTCACAGCCCCCTTTGGGCATCCACCTGCTCCAGCACGGGGTCCTCCAGGGGCTGCAGGTGGATATCTGCTCCGCCGCTAACCTCTATGGGCTGCAGGGGGACAGCCTGCCTCACCATGGTCTTCACCACAGGCCACAGAGGAATCTGCTCTGATGCCTGGAGCACCTCCTCTCCCACCTTCTTCACTGACCTTGGTGTCTGCAGAGTTGTTTCTCTCACATGTTCTCACTCCTCTCTACGGCTGGAATTGCGCAGGTTTTTTTCCTGCTTTCTTAAATCTGTTATCACAGAGGCACTACCGTCGTCACTGATGGCCTCGCTCTTGACCAGCGGTGGGTCCATCTTGGAGCCAGTTGGCATTGGCCCTGTCTGATATGGGGGAAGCCTCTAGCAGCTTCTCACAGAAGCCATCCCTGTAGCCCCCCCACTATCAAACCTTGCCACGCAAAGGCAATACATCATCTCTTGGCTGTATTTCTTCTGCCTTCTGAAATCCAAGACTTTTAAAGCTTATTCCCATACAATGTTGCTAAGACATGGTATGTACAGTCTTGAGCGACCGGTCTCATCCGTACCCTTCTTTTGCACCGCAGTCACTTATATCTGTCAGGACAAGGAAATAGAATAATCTTGTTTCATTCGTCTTCATGGCAAACACAGCTCTAAAGAGATTTTTACTTGCATGTTGGCTGTGACCATGCATTTCTGCTTCTGTGTGTTGCATCTCTCAGACTGACTGGCCTCCAAAGTAATTCTATATGCTCGATTCTCCC